CAAAGAAAGACAGGATAACTGGGATTGTGTCAAACTGAAGAGTTTCTGCATTGCAAAAGGACATATCTAGCAAGATAAATAGCCCACAGAGTAGGAGAACTTTATTAGCTATGCATTAGACAAGGGCTTCATGTCTAAAATATACTTCAAGCTCAAAAAAATTACCCCCCAAAACAAATCCTCAAAGAAACAGCAACCTAGTTAGTAAATGGGCTAAAGACCTAAAGAGAGACTTCTCAGAAGAAGTACATCACCTCTACAATAAAAAATGAATAAAAACTTTAAGTTTTTAGTAAGTAATCATAACAAGAAATAAAAGTAAACTCCATTTCAAAACTAAGTGACATTAGTGTACTTACCTTAGAAATACATCTCACTGCTATAATATTAATGCAGCATTCTTTGAAATCACTTCTCAAATGCCAATAAAATCTGTACAGTTATTCTAGGATAAACATATCCCCTATTTATTCTCATTAGCCATATGCCAGATGGGAGCCAGGATCTATTAGATAATATACAGTTTCACACTAAATCCAATTTATGAAGGTATAACCCTGAATTATATTCCTTTCCCTGACTGCCATATGTTACACCAACATATTAAATTAATTCACATATTGACCAGGTAATAAGTTAATTAAAAATATCCTTTAACAAGTTATTACAGTGGGTCCTTTCTTGATAGATAATATTTTATTGAACATTTTGTGAAACAAGACACATTTGAGATCTCATTTAATCCTGCAAATAACCCTATGAAATAGATTTACATTTTGTTCAGGTTTTATAGACATTTTAGTAGCTTGCTGGCGGGCACACAGATTTTAAGAGGAGCTATGATTTGGACCCAGGAGCCTTGGTTCTGAAGCCAGCCCTTCAATGATTTTAATACCCCATCTGTAATACACAATTGAAACAAATATGGGATTCATCTTGTTTGGCCACTCAGATTCAGCAGATTCAGGGGTGATAGAGGAAGACTATGCCCATGAAGTGATACCTCATAATCTTTTAACAACGTCATGGGTCAAGGAATGGGTTAACCGACAGATATGGTTAAAACCAAAGAGGTCTCCACCAAACCTCTACTTTTAAAGGTTCAGATTAGCCCAGAGTTAAGGGAAATAAACAGAAGAGCACATTCCATGTGGTAAATAACAAGAAACCAGGAAGTGCAGGCACCACTGAGCTGTCATGTGGTATCATATGAGATTTCAAGAAACAGAAACAGGATTCTTACATTCTTGGACAAATACAACCTCAAGGAAATGAATGTTTGTCATTTTGATGATCTGATGAGTCCCAAATAACATCAAAATGAAAAAAACATGTTTCTCTACATTAAATTAGAAGTTACTTCTTACAGATGTGGCTATGGGGCATTAATTTTCATCATCCTGGAAAACATTGTATTCTCATTACACAACAATTTGTTACATTCGTTTTTAAATTATTTCCCCTTTGAATGAGTTGAGATAATATTTATATTAACTTATATAGTCAATAAATGGGAAATATGTTATCATAAATTGAGAACATTAATTATAATACCCACTATAGCTAAAATATACAGATCTTGACTAAATTAATTGGCAGATTTATTTTTGATTCTAATGTATAAGTGATAGGTTCACTGGAAGAATAGACTTACCTATTGATATTCAAAAGTAGAATGTAACATTAGATTTACCTCGTCATTCAAAAAATTAGACCCAGATAACCTTGAAGTAACACACACACACACACACACACACACACACACACAACAAAAACTGACCTTCACAATTTAACGTTTCCAAACAAATGGACCATCCCTCCAGAGACATCACAGTGCAGTCACTGTGGACTTAACTCATGTGTGGAAGGCACACATCTAGTCGTGTCTCATTTATCATAGTACGAGCTCCATCTCCCTTGTGTGGATCAGGGAAGACCTGGATTCGGCTGACATCTGGACCAAGTTTTTCTAGCTTCTTTCCTTTTTGTAACTTGATCCAGAGATCGCTTGAACTACCTGTCCCAGGGCCCCAACCTGCAGGAGTGCAGGGAGCACAGGGAAGCAAGTACCCTGATGGGCAGTGCTGTGCCTGAGTCCTCCGTTCCCTCCCTGGTGCCTGGCCGGTGGGAGGCAGGATGCATAGAGCACTCCACCCATGTTTCCCTAAGTAAAGTCTTCAGTGTTTGAGTTCTGTGAGGCCACCTTCCTCCTATTTCTCCTTCTCTTCTTTCTTCTTTTCTTCTTCCTCATTTGCTCCTCCACCTCCTTCTCTTCCTCATTCCCTTCTTCATTCTTCTTCTGCCTCCTTATTCCTTTCTCCTCTTTGTTCTTCCTTCCTTTCCCCTCTTTCTCTTCTTTTCCCTCCTTTCCTTCTTTGTTCTTCTTCCTCGTCATCTTTTGCTCTTCCTCCTCTTCTTCTTCATCCTTTCCTTCTTTGTTTTTCTTCTTCCTCTTCCTCTGCTTTCTTCTTTCCTTTTCCTCCTCCTCTTCTTCCTCTTCATCTTCTTCCTCTTCACTTTTTGCTTTTAAATTTTTAATGAATGAACATAACTGCCCTGGCCAGATGGGGAATCGTTGGCGGTCCATCCTGGGTGCAAAGACAGGTTGTCTGTTCACAAGCTGGCATCGGAGTTGCCCCTGTATCCTGAATGCATGCATGCTTGGCTGTGCACAAAGGTTTCCTTCTCTCTGAAGGGGCATGTTTTCACATTTCTAAGCAAACCTCAGAAACTTTAAGGTAGCATGTAATACATTAACTCCTCATTAATTCAGCAAACATTTCATAAACCTAAACTATGTACTTTGCATTGAGATAAAGGTAAGGCTATAAACTATGCAAAAGAGACAACTCTTCCAAGAATATTAGAATATGATACAATAACAATAAATTAAAAAATAAGCTACAACACACATACTGGGCAAAGGCAGGAATGCTGGACTGCAGAGGGGGCATGGTTCAGATCGCAGTTCAAAGCGTTGCGGTTTGTAGAGAAGGCACACCTGAATACCACTGGGCTGTTTGTCTTGGCACATGTGTGGATTGAATGAGTTTTCTTTAATAGCAAAACTAAGTTAAAGAAGGTCCCAATCCTCCAGTCCCTGAAGAGCCCTGAGGTTTTAAGAAAAAGAGGAGAGCATTGTTAAGTGAGTCTCAAGCAACTTTTCTAGGAACATTCCGTGAAACAGTCCATGTGTGAGCTAGCCACTTCCATTTGGCTCCAGTTTAAAATTCAAAATTGCTCCCAGCACCAAAGGGCAGTATTGAATAGCTGCATCTAGAAACACATTGCAAGAATAACTTTTGCATTTTCTTGTAGAATATTAAAATTCGTTTTTGAATGTAAGCAGCACAGAAACGCCATGTGGTTTTGTTGTTCATCAAACATCTGAGTGGAGCATGGCAGGCTTGTGATGTCCTGGACTTCACCAGGAGGGTGAATGACATTCCTGTGCTCCCACCTGTCCCCAGGGAAAACCTCCGTGCCTCTACCTCACTCACCTTCGGGTTCCTTTGAAGTATTTGCAGTATGTCCCTACTAAAGAGTGCAAGCTGGGCACCAGTGGCTCACACCTGTAATCCTAGCTACTCAGGAGGCTGAGATCTGAGGATCACGGTTCAAAGGCAGCCCAGGCAGGAACGTCCGTGAAAGTCTTATCTCCAATTAACCACCAGAAAACCGGAAGTGGTGCTGTGACTCAAGTGGCAGAGTTCTCACCTTGAGCTGAAGAGCTCAGGGACAGCAGAGTTTAAGTCCCACAACTGACCAAAAAACGAAAACAAACACAAAGAGTGCAGTTTTAAGCTTTCACACATCAATTCTTCCACCCTTAAGACAATGGTTACATTTGTAAGTCTACAGAGTGGGGTCACTCCAATGCCTTAGTACCCAGCAGCTTCATGCTCTGAGTATCTGATCAATTCTTAGTTTATTTTTTTAATTTTGCAGGTATTTATTTATTTTCTTATCATGAAGTAATTGTACAAAGGAGTTGCCGTGTAACAAAGCAATGTATTTGTGAATACAATGCATCTTTATCAATGTCACCCGTTCCAACCTCCTTACTCATCTCTTCCCTACCCACCGCTTCCTTCACTCTTCTTAATTTTGTAGGATATATATTGGATTCTTGACTGAATTCTCCTCTTTATTCATTTACTCCTTTCCTTTTGACCCCACTCTTTCAAATACTCAAGTATTTATCTCTAGATTATGTGTGTGTGTGTGTGTATGTGAGAGAGAGAGAGAGAGAGAGAGAGAATATATTGAGGCTTGAACTCAGGGCCTGAGTGTTGTCCTTTGCTTTTATTACTCAAGGTTGGAGCCATAGCTCTACTTCTGGCATTTTGGTGGTTAATTGGAGAAAAAAGTCTCATTGACTTTCCTGCTCAGACTGGCTTCAAACTGCAAAGCAGCCTCCTAAATAATTGGAATTTCAGGTGTGAGCCACTGATATCCAGCTCTAGATTTTTTTTTTCGTAAAAAACACATTATCCTTAAGTCTTTGTTCCAAGGGATTTCAATTCAAAACGTAATGATTTATGAGTATAGTGTCACCCTTCCATCTTTCTCCCCCATCTCTTCCAACCCCTCCTAAGTTACCTGATCCCATTTTCACAATACAATCACTATTATGACTGAATTAGGCCCCCACCCTTCTGCTCTCTATTTTTCTGCCCACCCCTCCCCTCAGCCTTCCTCTTCCCAACAACACATGGTAAATTTAAAAAGAAACGTCCCAACACTCATTTTGAGGTTAAAATCACCTTTCCACAATTCTGTAGCCCGAAAGAAATACATTTAGGCTTTTATTAGTAAGATGTTGAAGTAAATAAGGCAATGCACTCTAAAGAGAATACTTCATTGCCTTCACTCCTCTTTGCGTACTTTCATTCAGCCAGCACAGTCGCGTAGCAGATTCTTCCTATGAAAACCATGTTTCAGCTTCACTAGTGGAACCTCATTCTCTAAGGCCACAGCCCTGTCCTTTGTTCTTTCAGATAAGGAGACAAGGAGGCATCCAGCTCCTGGTGGACCTGCTGGATCACCGGATGACCGAAGTTCACCGTAGTGCCTGCGGAGCTCTGCGGAATTTGGTGTACGGGAAGGCCAATGATGATAACAAAATTGCTCTGAAGAACTGCGGTGGCATTCCAGCGCTGGTGAGGCTGCTTCGCAAGACCACGGACCTTGAGATCCGGGAGCTGGTCACAGGTTAGTGTCATTCCTAAATCATTGTGTTCCATTATCCAGCCCAGTAGCAAATGTGTGAACAAGGTATTATGAACGAGGTACAGTGCCTCACTGAGCACTGATAACAGGTCATCTCAATTTCTGTTTTCACTTAAGTGAATAAAATAATATTAAGTGTAACAGGTGTGGGTTGATCATATTAAATGATTAGAATCCAAAGGGAACCGCATTTAAATTCTGTGATCATATGTCAGTCTTTGGCAGGCGACTTAAGAAAAGTTGAGTCTGGGAAGGTAGCTTAGGGGTAGAGTGCTTGCCTAGCATGCATGAAGTTCTGGGTTCGATTCCTTGGTACCACATAAACAGAGAAAGCTAGAAGGGGTGCTGTGGCTCAAGTGGTAGAACGCTAGCCTTGAGCAAAAAAAGCTCAAGGACAGTACCCAGGTCCTGGGTTCAAGCCCCAGGACTGGCCAAAAAAGAAGGAGAAGCAAAAGCAGCAGCAGAAGAAGTTATTGAAGTTGAGTATCTTAGCATACCCAGAAGCCACCATTAGAGCATTAAAAAAAAATGGTAGAAAGCTGATGCTATTGAGTCATTGGTCGTAGGGTACCCATTCTAGGTTTTAGTGTGGTTAAAATCAGAGTTTATTAACCTTTACAGTTAATTTACTGATTAAAATACTTATGCCTACTCAAAGACTCAGTGTTATATAACTGCACGTTATGGAAATTTTTGAAAGCTACAATGAGAAAAAGCCTTTCCAGGATCATAAATGAAGATATAATGATGAATATTGAACAAAAGAGAACATGTATAAAATTCAGTATACCTCTCTTTCTTGGAATAAATATGGACTCTGTAAACATCAGTTATTAGCTACCGTGCCTCACTTTGGGTAGGATGTAGCACTGGGATTTGAACTCAGGGACTTACACTTGCTAGGTAGCTTGAACCACACCTCCAGTTCTTTTTGCTTTATAGGGTCCTACTTTATGCCCTACTCCTCTGGACCATGATTTTCCTAATCGCAGCCTCCTGAGTAGCTAAGATGGCAGACGTGAGGCACCTTGCCCGGTGTAACCCTTCCTTGTTAAGCATGCACGTTTGTTTGCTTGTTGAAGTGCTAAGGACAGACTGCAGTGTGGTATTCCAAATCTTCCCTGGGCTTCCTGGTTTTGATGTTACATGCTAATGTTTACTAGGTGGTGTTTCTGATTCTGGTTCATCCAAGTACCTCTTTAAGTGAGAATTTGAGAAATGAATTACAAAAGTGGCTCCTCCAAACTTTCTTTTAATTTTTTATGATCTCACTGACCTTCTGTCCTGACTAAAATGTCCTTTTAAATATGCTGATAGCATATATAAAAAACGTGTTTATTTAAAATAACACATTACTCAAACCAGGCAATCATAAATATTTATCCAGTCCCAAGTCAAGCCTCCTAGTATCAATATATTTCCTTATGTTTTCATCTTTTATGATCATGGTTGCAGCCAGATGCAGGTGGCTCACACTTTTAATCCTAACTACTCAGGAGACCTAGATCTAAGGATCATAAATCAAAGCTAGCCTGAGAAGAAAAGTCTGTGACATTCTTACTTAAGGAGCTCTGGTAGAGTACCAGCCTTGAGTGAATAAACCTAAGGAACAGTGCCCAGGCCCTGAGTTCAAGCCCCCGCACCCCCACACACACACACAAAAATAGAAAAAAAAGAAGGGAAGAGGAAAGAGATTACTGTTGTATCTCTTTCTCTATTTTAACTGAGTTCAGACTAAACACAAATCCTTTTTTCCCTTTATATAAGTGGAGAATTGTCTTTGTTGTTGAAAGAGTTATTGTTCAAGGTTATCGTGTTATTAAAGTAATATTTCATACTAAGTTAGCAAAGATCCAGTAAGTAAAATGATTATTATCCCAGTAATGTGCTGTCTCACAGATCATTCTGAGGTAAGTTACATAACTGAAGATATTCCTTGTCAATTGGTTTTGAAAACGCACCCTTTCCTTCATGGACGGTATGTGGGAAAGGGCCTAATGTGTATGCTGGAAACAGCACTTGTGTGCGTGAGCACTTCACTGCTGGATGCCTGAAGCCCGCAGAAGTGCGGGCCTGCAGAGCGCCTTCTATATCCACGACTGTCATTCATTTCATGCTTGGGAAAGGACTGGATTTATACTAAACCTTGTATTTGCTCCACACATTCGCCTCGTGTGGAAGGCTCCCTGGCGGTTCATCTCGTTGTCAGACTCAGCCATGTGGAGAAGCTTGATGGTGTAACGTGGGGGGGGGGGGGTCCTGCCCCTGTGACATCCTGCAGAACACTCTGGTGCCTCCTGCGTCCCAGTGTCCAGCACACACTGGACTCCGCTGCCGTTTGCATCGGGGTTGGCTGCAAAGGAAGTGATGTCAGTTATGCCACACCACAGTCACCTACCAGATCCTGAGCCTCCGCCCCATACCCATGCTGCACTGGGGCAATGGCCAGAAGTTCTAAGTGAGCCCTATTTGGACACATCAAAGGCAAACAGTCTGTCCTAAAGCTCCAGGAGATTCTGTTCCTGGGGAAGCTTAGGCTGCAGGAAGCATGCTAGCACGATGCACAGCGAGCCGACAGACAGTGTCCATGCTGTGTGTCATGAGAGGGACGGAGGTTTGCCCCCATGGTCAGGTCTTAGCCCATAGTTTTATTAGCAGTGTATGCAGTGGCCCAGGCTCTCTCCATCATCTTTTCCAACATTCTCACCCTTCCCTCCCCTTCCCACCTCTTCTCTCGCTCTTCTTAATTTTGTAGAATATATATATTGGATTCTGTTCAGCACTGTCCACCTCCTCTTCATTCATCTACTCTTTTCCCCTGACTCTATACCATCCACTTCAAGTACCTGCTTCCTGGGGTTTCCATTTGCTGAACTTTGATTTTGGCTTTCTAAGGAACTACACTACTTGAGATCTCCATGAGATAGGTAGATGCCATATTTCAGTTAATACATTCCTATATACTTGCATATCACTCAACCTATGCACTTGTGAATTTGTAAGATGAATCTATCTTCTACATATAAGGGAAATCATGCATCCTTTGTCTCTTTGTGGCTGACTTGCTCTCTCAAGAAGATGTGGTATTAGAAAGAATGATATTGTATGCTTTGTAAAGAAATGGAAACACCTATTGAAATTCTTTCCTACTTCCTTTCTCTCATGTCTGAATCACCCATAGTTATTTCATGGTGGTGTTTACTGAATTAAATGTGGAAAAATGTCCTCATGTACGAACACAACACTTCCTATGTATGTCCTTCATTAAGAAAAAGCCAAACAGACCTTCAGTTTACCTCTGTAGTTGTTAACCTGAAATAAAAGATAGGACTTGTGGTATGAACAAAAGCCCAGTAGCAAGTACATGGGCTAAGCCGCCACCCAAGAGAAAGCAATTGGCAGAGCTCACGTGTGGCATGAAGACATGCCAGGGCAGAAGGGATGTCTGCTGGGAGCCAGTCTGTAGCGCCAGTGCCTTCTAACTTTCTGCAGTGAAAGAAGTCTGAGAGAGCCAGGAATCAGCAGGTCCCAGATACCTGTTTAGATTTTACAGAAATGATACAAATTTAGCCAAGGCTTACTTCACCACCTGACTGAAAGGGGAAAAAACGAGGCGGAGTGAATGCAGTTCAGAACCTTTTCATCTTCTATGGGTCGGCATTCGTCGCAGTGCACTGGGAATCCCGTATTTTCGTTCAGCTAACTAGGTTCAGCCACAAGGTCGGCAAAGCCTCCATTTCTCCTGTCTTTATTCTCTTGCCACCCCTCCCCTGGGACTCTGGTCTTGGTGCATATTTGACAAGAGTAGAATAGTGAGCCTGTCTTCCTGTGGGAATGCAGACGCCTCGTGCATTCCAAAGTCCTGCACCCCTCAGACATTCCTGAATTTCTATAGACCTCAGGTGCCCTGCCAAGCCCTGTGAATACTTTGGTCAGGCTCACCACCACAGTGAAGCCCAGCTCTGAATGGTCAACACGTATGTGTAACTGGCTGCGCAGAATATTTAGAGACATCCTCAACAAATGTATCTGTATTTTAAAAACATACTGCATGAACAGGAAAGGAGCCAGTGGCTCTGAAGGGTGGAACAGAATGGAATGTAAGAGAAAAAAAAAGACTTGCTTTACTTCTTTTGTCCAAAAGAGTCACCACAAATACCCTAGGAATGAGGTTCAACATCCACTTATGAATTAACTAACGCCATGATGAAGTATAGTAACTCCGTCCGAACCTCCTTTGTGCGTCTCTGCCAGACCTCATTCAGAATTCAGCCTCACTGCGGTGAGACAGGCTAGTACTTCCATTGAGTCTCTCCTTTTGTTTGCTTTTTTTGTGTGCCATTACTGGAGCTTGAACTCAGGGCCTGAATACTAAGTCTTTTTGCACACAGCTAGCACTCTACCACTTGAGCCACAGCTCTACTACTTACTTTTTAATGGTTAATGAGAAATAAGAGTCCTACAGATTTTCCTGAACAGGCTGGCTTTGAACCATGCTCCTCAGATTTCAGCTTCCTGAGCAGTTGAGATTACAGCTTGTCACATCCCCTTCTGCCTCTTAGCTCAAGCATGGGAATATGTATCCACTGAAGAAACATTCTTTCCACAAAATGTTGGAAACAAATGCTTAATTTAAAATGAACAATTTTAGAGATTTTTTTAAGTTTTGTAAATTAAATTTTAGATGAGACATTGAAGGTCTATAAGGTCTTAAGATATCCAGAATGCCAAATTATGAATAATTGAAGGCTAATAGAAAGAAATGATCTTGCCAAGCTATAAATAATTTATCGAATAGTTCTTGGCAAACTGTTTGAACAGTAATAAAATGTTAAAATTGAGGCATTTGCATACATTTCCATTGCACACATAAACATGCATGCTGAAAAAGCCAGCTGCCTAATGCGCTGCAGTGTCTGTTCACAGCACAATGTGTTTTGCCAGTGCCTGTTGGCTTCGCAATAAATAATTTTCTTCCCGTG